TCTCACATTTGTGAGACACTGCAGGCACAGCCCTTACTGATTTTACCATTCTCCAGCTTTGGAAGACCATTTTGTTAACCTTGGTGTCCTGGTGCGCACCCAGCCAGCAAAACACTCACCCATGGGACAGCTTTGGTACTGCCCTGTGATGCAACCGTACAACACTGCTTTGATTTTTCAGAGTGATCACCCACTACCAGGCAATTCACTCCCTCAATAATCTGGATATAATTTTGCATCTAGGCTAAAATCCTTTGTCTGGAATATTCGATTTGTCTTGGTGTATTCAGTCACCTTACTTGTTTCCTCACTGCTGCTCCTGTCCCATCAATAGAAACAAGATACCAGGCTACCCCTCCCAGACAGTGGCCCCAGTGACTAATTTTCTTCAATGAATATTGACCAAAAGAAAAGCCAGATGAGAGGTGCTTATTTCTAGAAACATTTATGCAGCATGGTCACCGACACCCATTATACACTGCAAACTCTTAAGGATTTTCAGTCCTAGCTCGGCTGTCTTATAAACAGCAGAGCTTCAGAATAGTCTAGCTTCTGTGAGCTGTCCTAACATAACCACTACAGAGTCCCCTAGTCACAAAAATTAAGTCAGCAAGATTCACAGAGGAAGCCGTTAGAAGCTGCAAGGTGTTCCAGCAGAGTGAAGCCAAGCTGTAGGCTGCTCAATCAAACAGTTCTGCAACCTACAGAACCAGTTTGGTCCTGTCACTGTATCGGGCTCATAACCTGTGCTGTGGTTGTAAAACAATGCCCTTCATGAAGAAGCTTTCAAAGCATATCCATTTAAACATATACAGCCTGAATGCAAACCTTTCTTATGTTCCAGTTGGTATCGTATTTGTAGCAGCTGCCTCTCCCTCAGATGTATCTTGTCCAAAATGACTGGAGGCCTTTGAGACAAGGATCCCAGACAGAATTTCCAGCTGAATGCTATACTTCTATAGAAATAATACTAAAACAAAAGATTATACAACACAGTCTTTTTGCCTCCTGCATTGTACTGAATACAAAGTCTGGCTCATCTGCCAAAAGATGTGACAAAAGATGTCACAGTGGAGACAGGAAATCGGAGACAGGAAATCTCCATGACAGGGGCACAGACACAGAAAAAGTCACCAGGAGGGACAACCATGTGTCAAATCTGAAAAATGAGAGGTACAGGACTTCATCAGCCAAGTTGGAAACAAGGAAGTGGTACTAGACTACAATAGCTAGCTGCTGGGCCAGTCACTCAATTCCTGTATAAATAATCAATGGTTATCTGGAGTAGGAGTCCTCATTAGATAAAGTTTTTTCTAGAAGCCACAAAAAACAAAAAAAAAAGCAAAAAAAAAAAACCAACCCACAACCAACCACCCAACCACCAACCAACACAGGAAAGAAGTCATTAAAAATTAACTCTTAAAAAAGTACCTTTTCTAATCTTATGAGACAAGCAAACTAAAAAGTGTCACTAAGGCTCTTAAGCACACAGAAATTTGCCCCGTTTCTGCCAGCTTTCCTAGAAACCAACTCCAGTATGTTGCTGGAAATAGGCCAAATCTAAGGACATGAATTTCTCATCTTTCTAGTTGTCTTTCTAACAATACTACCTTACTAACAAGACCATCACGCTACAGTTAATCCACATGGAAAAAAAAAATACAATGAATATCCTCTTGTACCTCTCCTACCTCACACTTTTGATCTGAACTAACAACTCTCTTTGCAGCACAAAAGTACCACTGTTCTCAGATCTTCACCCCAGGAAGTAAGATTTCCAGCTCATGGAAAAGGAACCTCAACCAATTTGAGAACAATGAGTGAAGCTGCCCATATCCACTGGAACACCAATCTCAGTGATGCTACACCGCTCAAATCTGGACAAGGGGACACAATGATAGAATGACAAAGCAAGGTCTCCCAGCCACTTTAAGCTTTGCACAACCGAAAGTTAAAGGTGGAGCCTCACACCCAGTACCTCATTTTCTTTGGCACCCCCTGACACAAATAGCTCTGGTTTTGACCATCCCACCCTTCTTGGTCCTTTTCAAAACTGCTGCAGAATCTTTTATTTATAAATATAATACTACTTTGTACCTTAATGCTCACATGTCTGATGGTTAGTGTATTTTAAGGATCACAAGACTTCCTTACAGGAAATGTAATAATACACAATCAATGTAAAAAACTTGAGTATGGAGTTGCTGCGTGACTGGATACAACACTTTAAAGACATAGACAAACACTCAGAAAATTTACTTCTCTGTCAGGAAATTCACTTTGGAGAAGAAAAAAAACAAACAAACCAAACAACCAAATGAAAAACTCACAAAAAACCCAAACAAAACACAAAATAAACAACTAAAAAGGGTAAAGCTTGAGAGACAATTTTACAGCATTAATTAAAGAAACTACTAAAGATCTGGTACTGAAGAAAAGTGACAGAATAAAACATCTCTCATGAAGCTGACTCTAGAGACATGCTGAAGTTAAACTGTAACAAGGAACATATTTAAAATGGCAAAATGAGATGATGTGAAGAACACTGAGAAAGAAGCTTACAAGAGAAAACACCTCTGCCATCAAAAAAGTAATTTGGAATTTTACCATGGAACATAAAACCAAGAATGCATTTTTTTAAACACTGATCATTTGCTTTAGTATTTAACAAAATAAGCAAAGTGTGTATCTTCTTCCAAAAAGAGGCAGACACCCCAATAGGAAGAGGCTTGCTTGGGTTATACATAGCTGACCTGAGAAAATAAATTGCAAAACTAATCTAATACAAAGCACAAACATCTCCCATTAGCCAAGGCAACAACCTGTCTGTATCCCATCACCTTCCTCCTGAACAAAAGACTGAAAAAAGTTTTCTGCTATTTTCAATTTGAAAATAACATTGTTTAACCCAAGAATGCACACACTTGCTCTTTAGAACTGTCATCCTATAAACAATACTCAGTATTCATTAGGTTATACAGGAAGAAAAAAATAAAATCCGAGGTAAGTCTTTGCTCAGCTAAGGTGCAGAGTGGCATGGGCTTGAAAAGCCATGGAAAACAATCGAAACTGATACTAGTTTCATTTTTACTGGTACTGCACAGGTTCCGCTAAGCCTTTTGCTCAGTGAATGCCTATAATGCAATTTTAACAAAAAGCTTCAACAACAGAGAACAACATTGTCCAAAATCTGAAATCTCTTTCCAATAAGATCAAAGGGCTGAAACATTTTGGGGAGAAATAAAAAAAATGAAATCACATATGGCAATTCCCACTCCTTTTGCTAGTTTTACACAGAGCGTCTGTTGAGTTTTTCTCAAATGTTATGTCCTGTTCAAACACATTGTTTTGCTACACACAGCTTTTGTGGTGTTTACTTGAGGCTTGTTGGCGGATGTGATTGCTTTTTCAATCCGCAGCAGTATTTAATATCCCTTCCTACTTGTTAACAGCAACTTTTATAAACCACAATTCTGAATACGAATGAAAGTATTGCTAAAAAAATCAACCATGTGCTCATCCAAGCAGAAATTTAAAGGAAAATTGCTGTACACTGATTTCCCTCCCAACAAAAAAACACACAACTTTATTAAATATATAATGCAATTAGCACCTCTTCAGCAGTCTGCTTTGGCAGTTTTAATCTGAATCCCTCCCAGAACAGTCGGGGCTGATGGGTGACACTTGAGATCTGAAGAGTGTGGGTAAAAATAACCTCTGTTCAACAAGACATGATGAACACCAGACAGCTGAGTCACCTTTAAACCAATTTTAATTTTCTGAATTAGAAAGTATTATCAAAAAGAGGGAGTTAAAGAATTAAAAAATCTGTCTGAAATGTATCTTTCATTGAATATTCTGTAATGTAAACTCTGAGCTTCCTTTTCCTTGCTGCCATTGGCTTAACATCAACACAGAGGGCTCAACCACCTCTGAAAAACGTCAACTTCATGTATAGAAGACACTTATTAAAATTTCAGCTCCATTTAAAAAGTGTAATTTCTAAGCACCTGTTTCTTACAAAGCACTTATCATTCCTATTAATGACGGCTTCCAGCACTATCAGCAAACTTAAGAATTAGTCAGGCCCCAAACTGCTGCTGAACACGTACAATCTGTGGAGCTTGTGGGTGTTTTGCAAGACAGCTGTAACACCACAGAAAGTTTCCTGTACATCAAGCATTCATTTGACAGCAAACTAAGCAAGCTAGTGGGGAAACGCTACAAGTTCATTGAAGCCCAGTGACAAAACTGAAACCTTAGGAGAGAGTGTTTCAGAAGGGTGTTCACACTGATTTTCAGGAACAGCCTTTACTTTGGAAGCTTTCTCCCAAGACTGCAAAAAGAACAATGAGCACCGACACAGCAGAAAAGCAAAACGATCGGCATCTACTAGCAGAAACATGCCAGCTACTGCCCTTTTTTACGGCCCGTGTGAAAGCAAACACAAATCTCCCTACGGGAGCGGACAGACCCCGGACCACTGAAGGCCACTTCCCAGGCAGGAAAGTTTCCCCAAATCTGCAAAAACCCCACGTTTAAGCAACCACTTCGGACCGCTTTAAGTAGAAAGGGAAATACACGAACAAGCACGGCGACAGCGTACGAGCCAGCAGCGATGTGCCGAGAGACGCCCCGGTGCAGCAGCCCGCGGGCACAGGACGGGGCAGGGCTGGGCCTCTACCCACCGCTATTCCCACGCGTGGCGGGGGAAGCCCGGCAGCTCGGCGGGGGGTGGGAGGGAAGCGAAGGGAAGCCTGGCTGCGGAGTAAGCCACGGCAGGTGGAGGCGGGCGAGCTGGTAACGGAAGGAACAGCCGAGGTTATGAAGCCTGCGGAAGAAGCAGCGACCCCGGGAGAGACAGGCTGTTCCCCGAACGGGGTGCGATGGAGAACGGGCCGCGGGAGGGTCACGTTTCCCGTACAGCGCCGGTTGAGGGCAGGTCGGGCGCCGGCGGGGAGGGGGAGCGAAGGCAGCCGGGGCGGCTTCGCTGCACTCACAGGCGAGTCGTAGGAGAAGGCACACTCCGTCTTGTAGACCCGGTCCCCTGACTTGGGCACCCGGATCGTGGGCATGTAGGGGACAAGCAGCTCGCCCAGGTCCCCGGCGGCCATCTGCGCATCACCGCCGCTGAAGAGCGCGGCCCGCTGCATGTTCCTTCACTCCCACCGGTCGGCAGACGACGAGCAGCCAGTGCGAGGGCAATAGGGGCGGATAGTAGCCGGGCCCAGGGCAGGGCGCGGCGGGGGCGAGCCGTGCCTGCAGGAGGAAAGGGGGAGGGAAGATGCTATTTTTAATCCAGTGGCGGCGGGAACAGCACCAGCTGCAGCGGCGGCACTCGGGGGTCCCAGCGCGGGAGGGCGAGAGGGAGGGGCAGGGCGGCAGGGGCGGAGCGGGCTCCGGCGGACGCCGGGAGGTACCGCCCGCGGGGGCGGTGCGGGACGCTCCCCTGAGGTGATTCCCGCCCCCGCGCGCGTGCCTCGGACCACCGTTAGGTGGCAGCCGGCGGCGCGCGGCCGCGCTGCGCACCCGCCGAGACCCGCGGCGGCTCCCGGAGGGGTCGGCTCCCTCCCTGTCGTCGTTCAAGGCCAGGTTGTCCGGGGCTTGGAGCAACCCGGACTGGTGGAAGGTGTCCCTGCCCATGGCAGAGGGGGGTGGAACTAGATGGTCTTTAAGGTCCCTTCCAACCCAAACCATTCTGTGGCTCTATGAGAGAACGGAGGCTTGGTCTCCAGGTCTCCCTGGGTAGCTCAGAGGAGGTTTGCCTTTGAGCCGTAATGCTCTGCTACAGGAGGCTTTATTTATTTTTGAGCAAGCGAATACTAAGTGTACATTAATTCTCAGCTGCAAGGATCTACTAACTTTACATGCCAAAAGTAAGCTTTCAGACACGCCCTGCAGTTCACGGCAAAGGTGCCGCGACCACTGGGTACGCGGGGCGAGCGTGGCGGCCCCGCCCTGGACAGCGCTGGCGACCCAGTGGTGTGTAACCTGCCAGAGCAAGCGGAACGGGCTGGCACAGAGGAGGGGGCTGCTGGCATGCAGGGCAGGGAGACTCAGCCCGAGGTCTCCTAGGAAGCCTGCTGCAGCACCAGCAACTAAACCCCATGTCTTGAGAGATGGGACGTTTAGCTTAAAATTCCTTTTTTTTTCCCTGTTGTTTTTTTTTTCTTTTTTTTTTCCCCTGCATTTGCTGTGTTTCTCTTTGCTTTTCATTTTGAAATAATACAGCTGAGGGTAGGAGAAAAGGTTTCTGGGAAAAAGTTACTTTTCTTCCCCCCTCCCCCTTGATATCTAATAACTATTACAGATGCCTGACAGCAGCAGGATTAAAGAAATGACCAATCACTTCAATTTAAGGTCTGTAATGTAGATGAATAGCCTTCCATCTACAGTCCACATTATATCTAAGGATTCAATCCAAGCAGGTGATGTGACCTTTGCTAGAACCACTGTTTACCTCAAAAAATTAAATTTCAAAAGGTGATTCTAGTAAAATCCCAACTAACAACAGACTTGAATATTAACTTTGTATCCAGCTACAACGAAATAGGCTGTGAGAGTGAGACCACTGCAGTCTGTTCTCAGCATTCTTTCTATCTTGAAAGAAGTGTTTCAAGTGCTGGGAACAGCGTGAAATACTAGGGCCAAATTATGGTATCAGTAGAATGAATGGCCTTAGGCTTAGTTGAAGAACAGACATTGCATCAAAAACTTGTGAGCCTCGTTGGATGCTGAATAAAACCCAAATCGATAGAGTCACCAGATAGATTTACTTTACCTGAGAAAACTTTGTGCTTTTACAATGGCTTCCCTCATTATTAACTCAGCATTTATGAGAGCCACAGTAAGACATACAAGCTGTCTAACCTGAAAGATTGTCTCAAACAAAAAGGAAAGTCATTGCACTGATATAAAAATCAGTCTGAGTCTTTCTAATGTTTGGCAGTACTGGGAAACAGCAAACAAGGCAGTCTTTGCTGAAAATGGTCTGTGTAATGTTGCTTCACATAAATTTATGTTTTAACAGCTTCAAACCACAACATGGCCAGGGGTTATTTTGGCTTATATCCTTAAAAAGGAGAAATTTTGAATTGGACAGATAGTTCAATGTCACAAAGTGTCAGAGGCATCAATCCATCAATCTCTTGAGGCATTTAAAGTGGAGGAGTACCACAGCCTCCGAGGAAACACACCCCTCTAGTGGCAAAAGTCGGCCAGGTAAAGAATACCCTCTGTTATCCCTACATAATTGTTAGAAGTGTAGAAAAACACCTAGTAAAGACTATCCTCCCCACAACTACATGTGATTCTTCATGTCGCCAGATAAATATTTAATAACATGAAAGTTACGTGACATTGGTATGTATCTCTCACTAAGAGAAATATTAATGTATTACCTTGCAATGTGTTTTCATCACTGAAAATCTTTTCTGCCACAAAGGGAGTATGTAGCTCTGTTTTAGATATATTACCATTTAGAGTATGAAGCAAAAGTACCTGTTACACTTTTAAGCCTTATTTAAAACCAACCCACTGAAAAAACAACCAACCAAAAACCCCCAGAACCATGGAGAAATATGTTCAACAGACAACAATTTCTGGATGATCTACATAGAGAATTGCCTAGTCCAAAGTTTGTTTTTTTGTTTGTTGGTTTGTTTTTTTTTTTTGGGGGGGGGAGACACTTTGGTTTGCCTTTTTAAGAGTGTTTACAAAGTCTTTTACAGACATAGACTATATATAGGAGGTGAGACTGGAGAAAATGAAAGTAGAGAAGCATAAATGATACATATACAAGAAGAAAAAAGTTTAGAGCTGGTGGCAATAATAAAGGAAGAACAGCATGGGTGACACTATCAGGGATGAAGGCTATTAACAGTTCTTTAAAGAGAGAAATGTATGAAATCATGCAGAGAAAATGACAGCACATTGTTGAACAATATGCAAGTTGGGAAAAAATAGTGAGAGATGAATTCAACTACAAGTAATGAGAAAGAAACTATTTGCCTAAAGGGGTAGATATAATCCCAATATTCTGAAGATCTGAAGATATTTTTCTTACTTAGTTAATCTTCCACAAATTACCTGGGAACGCTTTGCACAAGAAAGCCTTGCAGTTTCCCGCACCTTTCATTGAAAATTTTTAAGACTGGAATTCACACAATGAACACTAATAACATCAACTTGTTTCATATATATTAGGTCACAAAGCCCACTCTACACCTGTGTTCTAGAGAAAAGGAATAATTGTTGGCAACTGATACATGGCATTTTCTCTGATTAACAGCTTTAACAGCTATATGAGCTTAACTACCACACAGTTTCTTTCAAATTATGGGAATCAACAAAAACACGGTTTATTGATTTCCATCAGTTAACAGCAGGATGTGTATTACATAGCTCAGCCACAATCTGTTGGTATGCATTTAAGACCATGCATACAGTCTTAAAACTGTTTAATTGTCAGGTGTGGATTTCATAGAATTGTCAACAAGATTTTTATCAGGTGTTTCGTAATGATACCAAGGTCCATCGCCCCTCTGTCTCATCAGTCTGCGTGCCTCCAACTCCATCAGCCTACAAAAACAACCAAACCAATGAACACACTCAACATGAAGTTTATTGGGTTTGATCATACGTATATCAATGTCAGCAATGAGTTTAGCATCTATGGTTAATAAATAGATGCTAAGTATGCTAAAGATACTAAGTATGCTAAATATGGTTAATACTACTGAAACATAGACAATACCAAAATATGAAGGGCTCAACTAAAACATGAGCTATTACAGCCTTCTATTTCAATCTTTTTTTTTCAGCAAGTCATAGAAAAGTAATAAAAATATTTGCAGTTCTGCCACAGCTTCTTGCCTGGTAAGGGGCTAGACAGTTTTGATACAGCTTTAAACTAAGAATACATAGAAGTAAGAAAATCAGGAGTAAATGTGATAGTAGAAGGAGTTATGCTGTCTTGGTCTAAGTGGCAACAGTTCGTGGAACTCAGACTTTCTTCCATCACCACCATTTACTCTGAGTAAGTGCAGAACAAACTCAGTACAATGTCATTCCTGCCCACAAAATTTTCAACAGCAACAACGAACAGTATCAATCCTGTAAATTGTCACTTAGTTGCCCAATTAAGTGATGAGCATTAGCAGAGGCAAAAAGAGCTGTCCATCTGCTGACTCAGGAAGACAGAGCTATACCTTTATAAATACCAACTGTTCTGAAGAGTCACTGTTGTTTTACAAGACTGCCCTTGGATCCTTCCAGTTCTGGTAATACTGAGAAGGCAGAGACTACAGATACCCTAACTTCCACTTTCGCATCAGCCAGTGCAGCAAGCATTCAGAGTCAAGTGATACAGAAGTAAGCATGTTACATCAGCATTCAACTTTGTAAGTTAAGCAAAATGGTCAACTACAGTATGAATGTTTTTTTAATCCCTGAGCTATATAACATACCTCATTTGAGTTTTCTTCGCTTCAATATGAAGTACAGCCATCTCCTTTTCATAGTTCTTTTCAGGGGGGTCAAGGAGGTAACGGGCTATCCAGCGACTTATAGGGTGCTGGAAAATACAAAAGCAGAGATTATTCCTGCAATTTACAAGTAGAAATGTCATCATAACTAAACCATTTTGCATGTTCCTGGTCCTGAAAACATGTCATCAACGCTATGAGTGCTAATCACTCAAACCGTAATAGTAAAGTTAAAAACACGCTCAACTATTTGTAAGATCAGAACTCTCAAATATTTCTTTTGACATTTTTGATGCCAAGATAACCAGCAGACGACTATTCTGTAGCAAAATTAAAGGCTAATGGAAGACGTGAATTATTTTCTTTCTGTTGAAGTAAAAACTTCCACCGTAATTACAGAAATGGACTCCAAAACTCTTACCATATTCAGTGACATTTTAAAGTTTTGCTTCCACATAGAAGTCATTTCACTAGGAACAGAAGTCTAAGTGTGTTGAAACAGTCATAATAGAATCACTGACTTCAATTACTTCCTACCAAAAATGTGCTTGCAGCAAGAAGCCACAAACTAATTTTAAGAAAATAAAATGAAAAAAGTGTAACTGAGAGTTTCTGAATATAAAAATCTCCAGTTCTAGATATAAAAGCCTGTGTAGTGCTGGACTTTGAAATGACAGTAGCAAACAGTACAAAAGAAAGTAATGTCACTTTAAACTCCAGTATCTTAAGGTGCTGTAGTTCCAGAGCAAGAAATAAAAGACAAAAACTGCATGTAGGGAATAAAGAGAACAGAAGACTGTTCTTACTACTTAGGAATATTATAAAAAATTCTTGACATACAGCTTCAGCAGTTTATTTGCATATAGTTACAGACCATTCATATCTACTTTTGTCAATAAACAGACCTCCTACAGCAACATGCATGTTCCATAAAGCTGAAAAAAGCAAGTTTACCAAAATCATAATTGCAGAATTTGAGTTCTGTTACACCAATACCCAAAGGCCATCCTCATTATCATATTCCACACATTTTACTCCCAAAAGTGTCATCAAGAGGAAGGTTGTTGATAAACATGCCACCCTTTTACACGTTACACTCACTTTGTAGTATTCCCAGTACTCTGGAACATAACCTTCAGGAATCTCTGCAAGTTCAGCTTCACCTGACAAGGAAAAGGGAGGAACATTTAATTCACATATTTTTCCTTTATGTACTTTATATTCTACTTTGCATATTGGGAAAATTGGGAGGGTACTTAATTCCTCAGTCTGAGCTCTATTCAGAAATATTTCCAGACACTTCACACAGTGTGTATCTAGCTCATAGATTTAGCCACACAAAAAAGTGTGAAATTAGCTGCTATACATAAGAAATAACTATGATCAAGTCTGCACAAATGCCCTTTAAAGCATATGAGCTGAAAGCATGGATTTTTCCTAATTTCTTTATTAAATCAATTCTATATTATTACTGTAGTAGACGTAAAACAAGTATTGCCAAGCAAAATTTTATTGCCAGATAAAAGCGACAGTTGCAGTGTATGCAGCCTTTTTAAAGTATGCCAAACAAGGTAATACAGACTCCTCATCTGAACACAGAACTGTTCTCTAAACCTCACCGATGTTTGAAAGACTGTAAAAAAGATGGAATTCTTCCATTTTTAAAAATGTGGTAACCTTCTTTTAAAAAAGCAACAACTACAGAAAAATAAAAATACTGGGAACATATTCCATGTACTTACAAGATTGCCATAACTGTTAGGCCTATTTCATGGTCTCCCAAAGATCAAACCTTAAGAGATCACTTGTTTCTATCTAGTACGCTTAGTTTCCAGTTGATAATTTTTGACAGTGTATTTAGCTTAGTCACGACAGAGCACTCACCAATGAAGATGTTGACATATGTTATAAATATTGCCACTGGTATTCCCGTCAGAAGTACATAGAATCGCTGTACAGGGAATAAAAGAAAAAAAGAAACAGTATGGGAAACTCAGAAGCCTGACAACATTTAAATGAGGTTAGTCTGACAATGATGTAAGAGCCAACAGATTTGCATTCATATCTTAGATAAGGATGCTGTATGTAAAGACATATTGCTGCTTAAAATTACTTAATTAGAACACAGAAACGGTGATGCTGTGTCAGTCCAGGAGCCTATTTAGTTCAGCTTCCCATCTCTCAGTCTCGTAGAAGCAGGCAGCAATGCTTTCCCTGAATGCTGTCTCAGCATCTTGTGATGACCAGCTTCAGCATTTAACCATACCAAGGCGCTAATACCAATGTAATGTAATCCATCATAAATACAACCAGTGCTGGCTTTGGTAACTGTGGAAGACAGATAAAGGAAGCCTGAGTGCACAAAGGGGGTTATATCAAGTTGACTGTTACCGGCTGTAACAGGCTTTACCTGAAACCTATAGCTTTTTAGGGGTCAAATTCAGGTCAGGCTTCCAAAGTCTCATCTCTGGTGCTTAGGGATTTGGGTAACTGAAGCCAAACCCTGCAGAAGAGTAACCTAATACATTATTAAAAGGAGGCTATAGTACAAAGCATTTGTAGGTTATGCATATATAACACATGCACATAATTTAAGAATGCTACTACAGCTTTAAGTACCTATCACAATTTTTGCCATTCAGCCATTCTTTTTACTTCATCTGGCCCTGATTTTACAACACATGACAAAAAAAAATATTTAGAAGGAGGACTGGAAATTCTTATGTCAGTAGTGCCAGCCACATTTTAGACGTTCTCATGTAAACAATAGAGAAAACTGTATCTTAGACATTTTTACACCATTTGCAAAGGATGTGTTATAGTGAATATAGTAAATTCAGTTTTAACTCACCAACAAGTTCAGAAATCGAGTATCATAAAATTTTGTTGCCTTGATAATGAACATTCTTTTCCCATGGCTGCTGCTATGTCGTACAGGAGCTGAAAATTGAACCAAAGTATTATGTGTTTTTCTCCCTTTGGTGACTGTGCCAGGACAAGGTCAACAACACATGTGGAAAACAAACAAAGAGTATACAACATCATCTGAATAGTTACAAGCTGGTTTTCTAGGGGATATCAATGTACCCACAGGTCTGTCTATTTCTTATTTTGCTAGGATGAACCTATTTTTCTTCTAACTTCCAACATAGGTCTATTTCTACCTGCAAGTCCCAACAAAGAAATCACCAAATGTCATCATATGGGGCCAGGTAAATTCACAGATGGGTAAGTTTGGCCTCCCGCCAATTTTGACCCAATTTCTATCCCAGAAATGCAATTTCTGAGGGAAATGATGACACACGTTGCACCCCCTCACGGGATTTTCTTCACGTCGAACGCGTTTACACCTACACAAACAAGAGCGGAAGCAACGGTAACCGTACAGCACAGCAACCCTCTCCTACCCCACTGCCAGTGCAGTAGGGAAAGGACGGGCGGCCCCTCATCCTCAGGAGAGCAGCTCTCCCACGCTCCCCAAGGTCACCTCGCCCCTGGCACAGCCGCTCCCCCCATTCCCGCCGCCGAGGCCCTACCGACAGTGCCGGGGAGGCGGGAGGCTCCGCCGAGCCAGGGCAGGTGAGCGCCCCCCGCTGCGCCGCTCGCCGCCCTCCGGGCACCCCAGGCAGCCGCTGCCCGGAGAATCACGCTCATGGCCGCCATTGCGGGAACTGGTAAAGGGCGGGGCCGCTGGCGCTGTTTTCCTCGGCGGGATGAAGCTAATCAGCCGCCATCTTGGAAAATGGCAAAGTCTTCTCTCCCCTTCCGGCGCCCTTGCGGGCCGCCGTCCGCGGAGCCAGGCTTTGTGGGGCGGAGCGCGTCATGGCGGCCGCCGCGGGAATGTCCGCCTTGTGCCGGCGCCTCATGGGCTCACTGCGGTTGTCAGGAGCGCGCCCGAGTTTGATGGCTGCTGGCATCCCTGGGTGGGCACTGCACAGGCTCAGGAAGTGGCTGGGGTGGGCGCGGGCGCGTCGTCGGGAGGAAGGAGAGCCGCCCTTGGTGGGAGGCGGGCTGTCCAGGTGGCCTGGCCTCTGAAACCACGTCTGAGTGTTGCGAGTGGCTTATGCTGTGTGAGGCGTTGTGTAAGCGTGAAGCGCTGCTTTTTGCGTGTTACTTTTTTGTTGTCATGCATCACTGCGGCGTGGGTTTTGTGCTTACGCCGTGTGTTAACCGCTTTTGCCGTTTAGCTGAAGTCAGCGTCGGAGGATGTGTTCTTAGACTGCGTAGCTCAGACTTACTCTTTCTTTTAAATTTCAAACTTACTTATTTCTGAGTATACATAAGTGATAATTAGATGAGACGAGGGGAGGAGAAAACACCACTGAGATGACAGTTTTATGAAGAATTGAACCTATGCCTTTTCTCCCTGGACTGTGGCATTCATCTCTCTGTAGAACAACATTTGCATTTATATTATTATATTTTTTCTTATCATATATGGTTTTTCTTGTAATTTTTATGCAGGTTGACACCAAATCTCTTTCTCAAGAGCCAAGCAAAAGTTGAGCTTCTCCATCAGTTGAAGTTTCTGCACACTACTTTGTCTCGGAAAGGTCTGGAGGAGTTTTTTGATGATCCAGTAAACTGGGGAGAAAAAAGTGTAAAGTCCGGTGAGTTTTACTTTTATAATTTCTAATAGAGATCTTTGAGCCACTTGTGGTCAGCTGAAATCTGACATCCTCTGCATTCTAGGAAGCATTCATAGGTACACAAAACATTTTTAACGTGTATATGTACACAGTACTTTTGCATCTTTATACCTGTTAATTTTATTTTCCTGTGCGTATTCTGTGTTTATGAAAGCAAATAGCTATTACGCAGCAAAATATTTTACTGTAAATCCTCTGCCTTGCTCTTAAGCGACAGTGTATCACAGAAGAAATGTTCTTTGATAAAATATACGGTACTGTGGAAGAAAAATATTTCAATGTAAAGATTCATTTTTCATCTTTCCCTGTTCCCAGCCTCTTACAGACACAAATAAAAGAGCATGTAATTGCCTTTTTAAGGTGTGTGTATGTGCAAAGCAAAGCTGAGTATCCACAAGGACTGCTTTCAAAGGACAGCTCTTTTTCTAAAAAGTGGCCCTTGTTCTGTAATACTTCCGAGCCTGCTAATGGAAGCATTTCTCATTTTTTCTGTTGGAATACGAGAACTTTGTTCTATTGACGATTTTTTTTGCTTCCCTTTTCACAGGGGATGCATGGAATATAAAGCAACTGAGGGCCAAAAGTAGTGAGGACTTACACAAGCTTTGGTAAGTATGTTTTAGTGAAGTACCTGTCTTGTTTCAGAGCAGCTCTGGATGTTTTATTAAAATGTGGCTAGTGAACTTACTAGTCAGCACATTTACCTAATGCAGCAGCCTGCCATATTGCTCCCCATGCTTTTAACAGCCCAAGTTTAGGTACCCTCAGCATGCACAAGCTATAAAGCAGGTGGCTATGTGATAGCTGTGCCCCATGCAAAAGGATCAGGTTTGGTATGAAAAGGCTGTGTCCGGGCCCTTTGGAGGTTGCTTGAACTGCAGGACACTTGGGGAGGCTGACCATTACATTAGATTATGTTCCTCAGCTCTGAATCTTATGCTGGTACCAAAGTCTTTGAGGTTAGAGATTGCGTCACCACTCTAGGCAACCTGTGCCAGGTCTAAGATAGTTAGTATTTAGTTATTACTGTGAATGGTTTTTGTCTTGTTATATATTCTTCTTGCTGTATATTCTTCTTGCTGTGTACCTGTAAGAGTCTGGCTCTGTCCAGGCAGTGGAAGACTACTTAGCATTAACCTCTTCCCTTCTTAGCCGCCTTTATTCCAGGTTAAGTAAACCTTTATTCCTCAGCCTCTGCTCATATGTTCTTGTTCAGCCTGGGGAAGAGAAGGCTCGGGGGAGACCTTAGAGCAGCGTTCCAGTACCTACCTGAAGGGGCCAACAAGAAAGCTGGAGAGGGGCTTTTACAAGGGCGCATAGGCTAGAACAAGGGGGAATGGCTTAAAACTGAAAGAGGGAAGATTTAGATTAGATAATAGAAAGAAACTCTCTACAGAGAAGGTCATGAAGCCCTGGCACAGGTTGTCCAGAGAAGCTGTAGCTGCCTCATCCCTGGCAGTGTTCAAGGCCAGGTTCGATGGGGCTTTGAGCAGCTTGGTCTGGTGGAAGGTGTCCCTGCACGCGGCAGGCTGGTCGGAACTGTATGAGCTTTAAGATTCTTTCCAAGCCAAACTGTTCTATGATTCTGTGTGTCAGCCTTCCCCACCTCTGCTGGGCTTTCTGCAGTTAGTACCTTCGCCTCTTCATATGGAGCTAGAAGGCATGGGATATGAGATTAGAGGTTGAACAACTCTGCTCCGTCCAGCAGGTTAGTGACTGAATAATTGCTAATAGATCCAGAAATTATTTCTGAAGTACTGTGCTTTCTGATCTAGGTATGTCCTACTGAAGGAAAAAAACATGCTTTTAACTTTAGAGCTAGAATCAAAACGACAACTCAAGCCTATGCCAAGTCCAGAACGATTAGAAAAGGTAACATTTTCATACATAGCTAAAAGTATGACTAAAATAGCTGAGTGAAAGAGGAAGTGTTTTTAAACTTAATGACTTTTTTTTTCTTTTTTTTCTTAAAATATATTATTTCCCTGATTTTAGTATGTGCATAAACACTGCTCAGTCAACACGGTGGGAAAGGTTTCTCTAACATTAAGGAATATTTTGTTTTCTTTGTGCTAAAACTTCAGTATGCTCTCTCTCCTTACCCTCCACTGTTGCCAACTTCTTGCCTCTGACATTGTTGTCTCCAAACTTTTGCTCTTTAGTTCTTTGCTGTCCTCACATTCCCACCTTCTCTTGCATTATTGCAGTTCTGCTGCAAATTTACTGAATTCTTTCCTCAGTATCTTTACTATTGGAATCATCATTTACTTGTAAATCCACTGCCATCTCTATGCTTATGTCTCGCAGATGGAAACCTACACCTTCACTGGCTAGTTAAATAATCCAGCTGTTTGACTTGAGAGATATTCTCAGATATCCCCCTATGCATCCAAATTAATTTGGGAAAAGCTTTTACATTGTTAATTTGAATTTATTTGTATGTTTAATAATTCAACTGTTATTTGCCATTACATATATCTGTAACTGCATTACGATTTCTCTGTTTTGTGTCAGACATGGAATGATTTGGTTTCCTCCTCGTCATTTAATTGCTGTACTTGTAAATTAGGGAAGACCCAATATAAAACTGGATCTCAGTGTATCTTTTTCTAATGTATTGCAATACAGTTTCTTAACTGTATTTTGTGATTCCCAGTCTGAACAGCATTTTTGACTTAGACCCACCTCTACACATCCCTATTCAGCAATTACAAATCACAACAGAACTTGTTTTGGGAGGGAACTTAACTAAGTGGCCCTAACGCTTTAAAAATCAAATCTTACTAATTCCCTGTAGCCCAAGAAAACTAGAAATCAAGCACCAGTTAAATACTATGATTGCATTGAGATAAAATACAGCAATCTGCTTATTAGAATTAGCTCTAGCAGGTTCCCATGCATTTAACATGTTGCCATATGTAATGTGTGTTACAGTAATATGGGACAGATCTGACTAAAACACTTCAATGCAAGTGGCATGATTTAGTCGAGGCAGCTTTCTAATCAGCCAGTAGGCGTTATTGAGGCTGTGACCCAACTCCAAAGTTAAAACTAGATTAACAGACAGTACAAACCATCTGACAGAAATACATAAAATACCTGCTGCCGCTTCTACTTCCTCCCCACACCTGCCTCCGAGCTGGGCATCAGCATTAGATCTAGCGTTGTGTATTATCCATCTATTACTTAATGAAATAGACCATCAGTTATTTCATCTCTCTTCTGCTTGTAAGTTAAGTTTTTAAAGCACTGGTTCTTTACTGTTCTAACACAGGACCAATTCAGCTGTTTCACTCACTCCACAAGTGTGAGATTACTGATGACAGAATTCCCAGAGTGTTCAACATTTGCTTTTTGTTTAGATTTTGTCTTATATCTTCAAGATCTTTTAATTTGTTGGTATTGTGTTTTGTTGGCCCATTTTTAAACTGTTTCCTATTGTCAGGTAGAAGAGTCTATGAAAAATATAGATTTGGTTGTCAGAGAAAGAGAAATTGCTTTGAGGCTTCTACAAACTGGCCATGAAAAGCCAGTACCTGGCGAGTGGAGACATGACTTCCTAGGACGCACCTACTGGTATGAGAAAAAGAACCTTTTCTTCTAATTCTTATGTGACTTTTGCTTGTGGAAAAGTCTCTTTAAATGAAATCCTTCTCTAATCAGGAAAGCATGCATGTGGTTTATAGAAAGAAACGTTTTCTGATTAGTATTCATGTCCTGTTTGATTTTTGTTATTTCTATGGGTTTTTTGATGCGGTTACAATTCAATAGCAAGCTTTACCATTAATTCTAATAAAATTAGTTCCATGCAACTGATTTCTGCGCTATAGCTATTCTGCAGCACACAGATGAACTAGGGAGTACTGCTCAAGTTGAATCACTTGGATTTCTCTGGTTCTAATGCAAAATCCACATACTGAGAGACAACTACCCAAAGTGTTGCATGAGACCACCTAAATGTCCCTTGGAATTCCCTGCTACTCTTGGCAGATAGTTAACTTAGAAGCTTCTAAGAATTATTTACTGTGCAGATGCTTTCAGTAATCTGTAACTTCAGGTGATGATACTGAAGGCTCTGGCAGGACCTGCTATTTCATCAACCAGCATTTTACCCTCATCATATTGGCATTTGATGCACTAATTACAGTATTAAGATTGGTAGTAACAGTGCAGATAAAGAAGGTTGCATTTGTTTACCCATAAAATACAAATCGGCATAGTACTAAATGCACCAATGACTAGATTAGATCTCTAGGGGTGAGACTTCTTTCTGTATCTGTGACTCTCTTAAGGTAGCCAAGTACCTCATCATCTAATTAGCAAGATGCAGGAATGGATAAACAAGATTACTCCTGTCCCTACCTACTAGCCAGTGAAGCCACAGCCAAGAGAAGGGACTTGGTGGAAATCAGTGGGGGAAAAGATCCTGTTGTGCTTGACTGTAGTCTGGTGTTGTGGATAGGACAAGGGGGAATGACTTTGAATTGAAAGAAGGTAGATTTAGAACTGGATTAGGAAGAAATTCTTCACTGTGAGAGTGGTGAAATACTGGCACAGGTTGCCCATAGAATCTGTGGCTGCCCCATGACAGGCCTTTGTGCAGTCTGGTCTAGTGGAAGGTGTCCCTACCCATGACAGGGGGGTGGAAATGGATGGTCTTTAAGGTCCCTTCCAACCCAAGCCATTCTAAGATACCTTTCTGCTTGGAAAAATTGTCCACAAAGAATTTACCCATTTATTTGAAAGTCCAGTCCCCAGTTAAAGCAGGGGAAAGGGGCAGACACCATGGAGTCTTTTTATGCACATGGAGAAACTCTGCAGTATATAGCAGTAGGTCTGACACAATCTTGATGCACAGGAGTCTGCAGAAGCCATCTGTGCAGCCCATACACAGGAGGAACCCCAGGCAGACATAATAAGAGTCTATATTTAGAGGTAAAGACATTCAGGTAGATATCAACTTGACGTGATACTCCAACACTGGTATTTTAAAAGAAAATTATAGTAGAAACAAAATTCTTCACACACAGTTTGTTCACATCAGCTTTTGAGAGTTTTCTTATGGAGGAGTAACTTTAAAATGTAAGTGTAAAGAATCACAATCTATACTGGGCCCTCCCTTCAAACTTCCAATTTTTAAAGCAACGCTGCTTTCTACACTGAGAGACCCGAGTTAGATATGAGCTGTAGTTACAAACCAGGCCAGCAATAGCACGTAAACACCCACAGGCAAATTCCATGATTTACCAGTCAGACCCCTTTGTCACTGTGCTGTGACCACGTGTACCTAGTAGAATCCAAGAATGAAGACAGTAAGTATACATTCTGTAACAAGTTTTATCTGTCTTTAACAGGTACTCTTATAAAGAATGGCCAATACCATGGTACTTGAACAAGAAATACAAGAAGAGGAAATTTTATTACTTACCTCACGTGGAACGCTTTATCAGGTAAAAAGATGGTTTTGACATTTTAAATATTTTTCTGATCCCTTCCTCGGTCCTCTTTATTCCACTTTACAAGGAAAAAAAAATAGTAGTTTTCCTATTTTACAGTTGGTAGATGGAAAATAAGGCTTTTTTTAGAATAACAGCTTGCTCTGTTTTTTGTAGTTCCCATCTTAATTATTAAGAGGCTTGGTTACCTGTGAAGTTGCAGTGTAAAAGTAACTTCACATGCAGGCTACCTAAGGTTGAATTTTTGTTGCATTCAAAAGCAGAAGAAAAAAAATAATTTCCGTTGAAGGCATTTTAGCTTATTGAAAGTAAATGAATACTGAGCTCATGAAAGTTCTTAGAAGCAATCTAGAAATTAACCACACTGACTTCTTTATTTCAGGCTCAGACTTGAACAATCTTTACGCACAAGGGCAAGAAGGCAAAGCCTGGAGAAAACAAAGCAGAAGCTCTTGGAAAGGAAGTTCCCTCACCTTGCTATAAAATCTCAGAGTCAGTAACACACTGAAGCATGGCAAGCAATTGGCCAAGTGTCTTTGTTACTGGAACATGAAACAATTCTGAAACCAGTGAACAACTTGACTGAGCATTCCCGAGTCTCCTTTTTGTTTGTTTTTTTTTTTCCCCATGCTTGATCTAAATTAAATTTGTGATTGGGAATTAAAAGCAGCTTCAGTGCATACCTCTAATCCTAACAGCTGTTCCCAGAAACACTTGAAAAATGACTTAAGTCACTTTTATAATAGTGAGACAGGCATCATTAAGAGTGAAGAGCAGCAACTGACTGCCAGATGAAAGTATGAAGTGTAGACATAGTTACCTGGTTTAGTTTAACAAACACACTTTGAAAGGAGAGACCTAAGTGTCTCTGAAACTCACATACAAAGCTTTGTTCCTTGACCATCTGAGTTGCAGATGCCTCACTTAAGTTACACATGCTTTCTGCATAAAAGCATAGGAAACCATGCTTTCAGTCTGCTAGAGAAACTTCCCATGCTTTAAGCCTGGCTCATTAGAAAGTCTGAAATATTTAGTATGTGAACTTCTACCTGTGCAGTCTTTCTTTCTATCTAGATTTCTAGATAGCTATGACAAATTCAAACATCATTGCAGTGTTTTGGGATGGCTGTTTTTTTGTTTTTTTTTTTTTTCAGTGTGCAGAATAGTTGAAGGAAGATAGTAATACTTGTAAAACTGAAGTAGAAAGGTACTGGTGCTGCTCTCAGTTGATGGTGAACACCTACTCAGGAAAGCTTTTAACTTTCTGCTGAGGTGATGTAGGATTTTTGAATGAAGTCTTTTAGGAAACAAATGTGCTATACAGTACAACCTGATGAAACACTGTAAACTCCAAGGAAGCCAAAACTGTAGGAGATAGATGAGTCTGTCTCCATCATCAACAGTTACTCCTCTGTGTCACAGAAAATACCCATTTAAACAGGAACTCTCTACAGTGGTGAGAAAAACACAATGTGTTTTGCTCTCCAGTATAGTGATACGACATTCAGAGATACTACCATGGCATTGCAATTCTGTCAAGAAGATAATCAACCTTTATCTTCTAAGCACATGACACAGAAGAAAAGTTTCAAATGCACAGCCAATTCCTGAAGAGAAACAAAAAAAGCCTACTTTGTATCTTCACCTCTAGCTATGAGCTGTTCAGTCACTCAATGCTTCACCAATGCCACACTAACTTTATAAAGCATTACTCCCTGCAGCGTACTGGGATACATGTTCAACTGACATTCCACATTCTACTTCCATGCAAACCAGACTGAGTCTTGTCTTCCAGTCTGACAACACTATCTGGTGACGTATCACCTACTGTAGCTGACTTAAGTTTGCCTCATTTTGTGAGAGAAATATGGTTTGTCAATAGCTGAGAATATCTGAAACAATCAACTTTGTCTCAAGCAACTAATGGTTATCGTGATAAGACAAAAGCAGGCTGTTTTGATAAATTACTTTATTGTCTGAAGGTAATGTGAAAATTTTCAACTAGAGGCCTCACCATTATTTACCCACAAAATTTTTAGGATAGAAAAATGTCGCAGTACTGTCGACATTATTTTTTTAAGTCATTTAAACGGTATTTGGTTTTCCACAACTTTGAAGATAAGGAGCAAAACTTCATTGTGTCCCAGTACAGAACATCACACTGTTGTAAATTAAAGCAAATTTAACAGCAACATAGATCTGCGTCTTGACAGCCAGTTCCTGCCCTCCAAAAAATTAAAAATCATGTTACTTGCTGACCCTGAGTGCACACTCTTCCTCCAAAACAGGCACTTACTGACCCTAGTGTGAGTCAGCTGCGGAGCTATACCAACAACAAACAAGTAGCAAATAGCCCCTTTGAGTTACAGCTTCCTGTAAAAATTTCAAGCCACATCCTGAGGTCTTCTAAGACTATCCTCCTAGTCTTGCAGAGACAATTCTTTACTTTAACTTCCCTGGCTAAACCAAGTTTTGCTTCTTGCCTACATTACAAAGACATTATATACATTCTAAGGAATCACGTGGAGAGCACCAATTGTTTACTGAAATGGAAATGCTCCATAATAAAAAAATTAGCAAATCAGTGCTTAATGTAACATTCACTACATGGAATGTAGCAATTTCACAAGACAGTAAAAGCTCACACTGAACTGATTCACCTATAATACAGTACTAAACAAACTCCCTTTTTAAAGAAGAGTAACTTTCTCTTCAAGTATGCACAAAGCCAAATTTTGCTTCTGAAGAGAGAAATAAGAGCAATTTAAGGCCAAAGTACCAGCAAGGAAGACCAGTATATGAAAGTAGACAAGAGATTTTTAATAGATTTGCACAGGTATTTGCAAGGTTATGCCTCTATCAGCTAACCTGTAAAGCTGTTCCCAGGAAAAAATGCTAGAGAAAATAGACATTTATACAAAATTATAAAATGCTTGTTATGTAAATTATTGCTTTACAAGGGATGTAAACATCCTTTTTCTATGATAGTACCAATTAGGTCTCAAAATTTCTAAGGTTTGTTAAAATGGAACTTGAATTATGCAAAAAATCCAATATAAACTTTCTACAAAAAAAGTCCATCCCATTCCTGAGTATGCTAAAGCTATAAAACAGAAGGAGCACTGAGCAGGCAGCAGTTTTCACAGTAAGAGGTTTAAGGACATTTTCTTTCTACACACTGTTTCCCTCCTTCTTCATATTCTTGTTTAGAAATCCACATCTGTTGAAAAGTACCCTACAAGAAAAACAAAACAACTCAATAAATAAAAAACAAAACAAATGAAAGTTAAGTGAAACATGCTTAGCTTTTGCTAGGAGGAAAACCAAGCAAGTCTTAAACAAGCTAAGAGGACTTGACCTGCTTATCTTTTCTTTGGAGATTTATATTGCTAGCAATTAAACAAAAGGCAGGAAGTTGCAGTACCAAAAGCCAATTTCAGTCTCCCTTTTCACTGCTATGTTAAATCCCCACAAACCATTTTGGTATTCAGTAACTTATTTCTGCATTATATTCCTGAGCTTCATTCTACAAGTTCGCTACTTTCAAGATATACTGTATAAATGACATGTTTACCTATCATATTTCAATCCTGTGCCTTGCCATTAAAAATGGGAGAACACAGCGAGTTACTTTTTGATTGGGAATGCTCATGTTGTCTTGTTCTTTAAATTGATAATGACTGCCATGTTAGCACAAACTCTGCAATGCACGCTTACGCAGAATTAGGTTTTTGGACAAGCAACACAGTAACACAGGTTTACTAACCAAAGAAGCCAAAATCGAACCACCAATCCACGAGCTGAACCTTCGCTCAACTGTTGTGTTGTTTGCTATCAACTTCAGACGCATGCTCTGAATAGAGAAGGTAAATGAAAGAACAAATCAGACAACTAGTACGCTAGTGACCTTTACGGACAAGCAAAGGCAAACACAAAGACCTCAGTGTATATACTAACATGAAAGTGAAAAGGTCATTTTTGTTAAACTTGCAATAATGCTCATTTGCCCTGTACTTAGAATTCAAGAATAGCCACAGTGGAACAGAATCTGTAGCTTTTATATTGCTTCTCAAAAGGAAGCAGCAACAAATGCTTAAGGCTAGAAACAGACCAGGCAGAGAGCAATAATACAGCATGTATCATTATCTATAACACTGGGCTAATTAAAATGTGCACTGGAACTAAAATTTCTAACATTGCTCCAGTTCAGCTGGTCCTTTCAGGACCCATTCATTCCTTTTGCTTTCAAAATGCCTTACTGTAATAAAATCTTCAAATTTCAATGGGCTCCTCTTCAGCTATTATAAGCAGCAGCAGCAGGTAACTACCTCCCTGTTTCTCATAACATTTATGATTTAAGAGTTACTGTGAGTAGAATATTTTCAGAATACTCAAGAAATTTCATACGCTATATGTGCTCTCAAGAACACTCATGTAAGGTATTAATATTTTCTTTGACATCAAGTGATAAAAAATAAAACAAGTATGTCAAATCACAAGGTTTTATCTATGAGTAGGTCAAGTTCTCTCTAGAATCCCTGTGACAAAGTGACAAGACCTCAGGCAGAATGACTGAATGTGCCTCAAGTTAGTCAGCAACACTTCAGAAGAGAGGCCACCAAGGGGAGACTTGCTTAGGGACAATTACAGAACTTAAAATCACAATCTGAAAGCAGGAATAGAGAAGTAAAATATTCAGAAAGCTGTTAGCTGCTGAAATTCATGTCATACAAGACTTTTTCAAGACTTCTTTCTTTTCTTTAGAGGAGATTTCTTACCCAGAGAAATTTCTCCAGCTGTTGGGATCCTAACAAAGTCAGGGTTACAACACATGGTCGTGTATTTATGTGGCAAACCCCCAAAATAATAAGTAACTCAATGCAGTAATTTAAAGAGCTGTTTTACCGGTGGAGTCTTCTGGGACAGCTCTCTGTTCAATCTGTCTGTGAAACTCTGTATTAGAGTGTTTCCTCCCGCTACAATCACACTGCCATAGAGGCCCTAAAAAGAGAATAATCAACCTACAATGTTAACTCTGAAATCAAACTGAAAAAACTGTTTCACAAAATAGAGGAACAGCACATAGGTATATCTTAACCAACAGCAATAATACATCAGTTGTGTGACACACTTGGCAACAATACTACCTCTCCCAGTCCAATTACTTTTTAATCACTTGAAAAAAGTTTCAAGACAGCTTAATATTGAACTATACAAGGAAGACAGAAGCCACATGATTACCAATTCTAGATGATTTCACAGAATATTTTCTAATATAGGAAACCCTACACCTACAGATACCTCCTGTATCCAAATTGTTTTCTTACAGCTGATTTGTTCCAACCACAAAGGAAAGCCCCACAGCACTGCAACAGTTTTCAGTCTCACTAATGCTGCAGCTGGTGAACACAAACCATGTCCTTGCCTGCTAAGCCTGCCTGCCACGCCAGTTAAGAGGAAAAGTTTCTGAAACAACCCCCATGCAGTATGTATCAAACTTGAATATTTTCAAATTGAGAAAGCTAGAACATAGTTTTAAGAATAAAGTTTTCCTTTAAAAATCTCATTTCTTCCTTCTACTCTCTACAGAAAGTTCCATAAGATTGGTTACATTTAGGAAGTATAACTGCCATGCCCAGAAGTCCAAGGATGGCACTCACAGTTATGAGCACCAAATGCTCATCTGAAGCAAATACCACGCACCCTATGCAGTGCCAGCCACAAGATCTGGACAGTAGCTACTTAAATACTGATAGAAACACTAGGTAAATAAATCCTGATTTAGCATTCTGTAACACAAAACAGTAATTGTACATATTCCTATATACAAATGTGTAAGTAATACTTAGAGAATTATTCTCATGTGTTTATCATTATCCTAGGAAATCGCATTTCTTCATCAACAGTGTTCTAGTCCCAAAAAATTTTATCAGCACAAAACTATCTATGCCTTATAACAATACAGGTCTGACTAACACTTACCGGCCTGATGTCTATATCACACATTCCAACACTTGTTGTGACAACGTGGCTCACGCCCAACATCGTGTTACCAGATAAACCCTAGAATTAAAATTAGTAATCTATACATCATCACTTCAAAAGAGCAAGACATATAAAAGCCCCAAATGAGTTCAATTTACAAGTATGACTAGATAGGCATTGTTACGGAAGGTAAAAAAAAACAAAAAAAACAAAAAAACAAAAAAAACACCCAAACCAAAAAAAAAACCACCCAAACAACCCTATTCCCCCATTCAGCTCATCATCACCCGGTTTAAATGACATTTTATTCTTCGCTTGTCCAACCTTAATAAAACACAGGCAAATTCTTCCTGCAGAACTGCACACTGTAAATACACACATACAAATTATGAAATTAAGAGCATCATACAAAAGGAAGCCATGTGTAAATCTAGCAATTTACAGCCTTCCAATTCCTACACAGCATAGTTGTTTTACCTTTACATTAGAAGGGTCAAACAATCCTTCAGGGATTTTTAGACGCTCAGCACCAAAGTCACAGTTATAGCCATTAGGGAACTCATAATGAACTGTCGGCATCTGCGCTGCTACCCTGGAGCGTCAGCCGGAAAGTAACACATTAAAATGCTATGTAAACAGGATGTTAAGTTATCCAATTAGCATTATAAACTAAGGTTTAAATGGGAATATTGTGATTTATATGACTTATACTTCCAATATTTATTGTGAAGTCATGCATCTTGGAATATCAAATAAAAAGCTATCACCTGTATGTACACTGTATTTCTACTTTCAGAAACAAACATATCCAAAAAATACCTCTGTGACAAAACCAGCCAACAGCAACGAACAATCTAAGCACCCCATGCACAACTGATAATTAATTTTGCAAGAATGAAAACAGTGACATACTGTTCATCATAGGTTGAATCTGATACTTGGAGGACGGAAGCCTGGAAGTCCTGAATGACACACTATGGAGTTAAGAAGAATATGGTTAAAAGAATTTCAGTCTTCGATTTTATATAAATACTGACTTCTTAAAGAATTTAGCTCTTCAAGAAAAAAACCTGATATACTTGCAAACAAAACTTCTTTACGGGTCAGCTAGGGGAGTCTGATAGTGGGAGAAATGGTCTACTTACATTACACATGTAGTTGTGCCAAGACCTAGTGACCTGGGGTAACTTCTCTTTTCTCTTCCAATTTGCTGGTGACCCCTCACGAACTGCCTCCTGAGATTGTAAAAAACATGATCATCAGTTAATCATTTAAACCTCTCCTCAAGAAAAAGCTTATTAATAAATTACTTTCCCACCTTTGAAGCAATCATATATGGAGGAATTATCTCTATGTTCATTTCCTGAAACAATTCTCGGCATTGCATAGTTATAAAGTCTCCTGCAAGTGGTGACTTCACAATACCTCGAAGACAAAAAGAGAACCAAAAAAACCCATCACCTTGAAAGAACCGAAATCATGAATAAACTCTCCTAACAAACCATTTGCCAGTGAACACCATTAGAATGTTTTGGGGTCGTCCCCCCCTCCCCATTTTATGGGTTGCACAGATTTAAAGACAGTAACAAAAAAAAAAAGCAGAAAGCAAGCTAATTCAACCTTGGCACTACAATGCTATCAGCCATAAGATTTTTTTTACCTTGCTGAAGTACATATCCATCATGCACTGGAATAGCAGTGGTGTGTGTTGCTCCACTATCCAAAATGAGACCTGTAGATCTCCCATTAGCAAAACTAGCCAAAATGATTATGGAAAATATTGTCATTTTCACTTTAGGAAAAAAAGTTGTCTACAACCTCAGCATAACTAGGACCCCAGGGTGTTATTCCTTGGATCTACAAAAGGATTTGCCGTTTTCCAGTGTGCATCATTTGTCTACAAAGTGCACAACCTCAGCATGAATGGCATTTAACTTTCAGCTGTGAACTGACTTGAGCTCTGGATGTACAAAGGTGAGACTTCACGTCAGTACTATGCAACAAGCTCTAAGCACATTCAACTAATTTGGAGTCTGAAGCTGAAAACATGTTATTAGTTTAAAATAATTACAAATATTAATCTTAAGGCTATGGGAACTTCAAGCTGTAATTACTGTATTCAGTAGTCTGGACAACACCATTTTAGGTCTGTAATGTTCTTACCCATGGTATACAATAGGAAAAAACTATAAGAGAGAACTAGTAAAAATAAAAAGACATTGCCTCCAAGCAAAACAGTCAGATTGGGAGCATTTCAAAAGTGAGCTCAGCAGCTTTAAAATTCATAAATGGAATTTACTTATTTCCTCCTTAGATGTTTATGGAAAAATTAATTTGAAAGAAGAAAAGTTAGATGTGCTGTTACACTAGGAATTGCCTGTAAGAAGTTTACTGTAATTTCCTGGGGTAGGTGGAAGGAAGAAGCAGTGAAACATTCCAAAGGATACGCTGTTAGAACAGCAGTTTTACACAAGAAAAAAGCAGGGATGTTGTAGTGTTCAAACATCAATTCAGTCAGTTTTTCACGCTTTGCTCTAGTATTCCACTAGAAGAAAAAAAAAACATACCAAACCACAAATAAACAATCAAAGGGAAGATATGTTTATCTTGAGGACAATTAGAGTACACTAAAAGAATGATAACATATTTCCCTAGTAGTTAGAATTATTATAGCCATGTTTTCAAATCATACCAAAATTCATAGAGACAGATTTCTAGCAATTTACTTCTTCAGAACCTTTATTCCAATTCTACTACATTACTACTTATCTATCACACAGAAATGATACATATTTTCACTGTTACAACAGATTTCTTTACACTCCTACAGCTTTCTAAGTCTCAGTCTCTCAAAGAATTCTATAAACCAAGCAACATGCCTATTTTATAAGGGGAAAGATACAAGTAACTTGCCTAGTTGAAAGAAATCCAGATTTTCATGTTTCCAAGGTATTTTCATACAGTTCTACTGTACCAGAGATTAAACCAGGAGATATACATATATAAATATTCTACATATTACCGAAAACATGAAGCTTTTTCCAAGCCAATACATTAAAGTAAAGGTTAGCTCTCTAAGGAGACTGTTAATAGGATCCTCTATTCAGACACACAATGAGGTATCAAACATGATATAGCCATTGCAAATTTAACCATACCCCACACACTGCAATTCAATGCAAGGGAATAATGAAGAAGAAAATTCTTTTCATAAGATTTTATTAAAGAAAGGCATAAATTTTGTACGGCTATCCTCTGTATTCTGACATTAAGATCTGTCCTTCATATGCTGCACAGTATTAAACAACAGAAACCTTGTCCATACATTTTCCCAGAAATTTCTTTACATCCACTTCACTTACTCAAAGGGCCATTTACAGAAATGAAGACAGAAAAATGAAAACTTCTCCATTATTCTCTGTCATGTAGTATTTGTCAGAAGGCTGAATAAAGTGACAGATTTTCAATGGCACTTTATTAAGTGTAATTTAGTACATATTTAGACATCCAAACAACTTTTTGCTTTTACTCTAGGCAGTAAAGTAAGAGTATATTTAATTTTTACTTCTTTTCAATATGTGAAAAACAATAACACTTTCTAATACTTCCTAATACTTTCTAATATAACTACACAAACTATTTCAAATTGGGTTTGGCCTTTGGTGTTTCTTTTTTTTTTTCCTAGACATGTTCTTAAACAGATTACTTCCCCAAACCTGGCAAAATATTTTAAAACTGCTATTTTTGTAGATAACTTTTAACACTTGAAACCTACAAGCCTGTGCCAGACTTGTCCCACGCTAATGTTTATAGAGTCAGCAAGAAGATACAGTCAAGACTTATCGAAATGCAAAGCTGCTTTTTACTCACTGGTGCTTCGGACATAAGGACAGGATGCAGGCTTGCTTCAGATTTAATATGCATCTTGTAAGTGTGATCCAAAATTGCCTGGAAACTATCCCAGTCTTCAACTGTAACAACATTGAAGTGAGTGGATTAGTTACTTCTGAGTTTTGTTCCATTTCATAAATGGATAGAAGTTTTCCAAAGCTTTTTTTTGAGTACAGCTCTTTAGCTAAAAGATACCCTCAGCAGACACAAACTTCTTTGCAGCCCTACAGAATTCTCTCATTCTGTAATCATCATCATCATAACACTTCAAGAATTCTGTTGAAAGTTTGAAAGTTGTAAACCAATCATACTTCATGCTATTTGTAAGTCAGGTATCCATTCTTATAGCTTCTGCTGCCATACATAGCCTGTTTAAATAAAAGCTATGACATTTTGCTGCCTAGCAATGCTATTTCACAAACAGATACAACATGACAGAGGACCATACTCATTCCATTTTTTAAAGGTGAAATTGCCTCCATATTTTCCCTTGGAACTCTCAGGGCATTGGTGTCTATGTAGTAAGTTGGGCCGCCTTGTTTGCCTTTGTCACCATCTATCTCCATCAGAGTACTGCCATTATCCCTTTCTAGCACCACACCAATGGCAGTTGGAAAATCAACCTGTAAGGCAAAAGGTAAGCAATATATGAGAATTAAATGAATGTCTGGGGTGGCGTTTTTGTTCATTAATTCAGAGCTTTCCTTATACAACACAGTCAGAACAAACCCCAACATATTCTGAGAACTCATAACTAAACAACAAGACTTAAGGCATAAATTCATGTTGCACTTTCATTAAGTCACGAGATCCTCACCTTTGGACAATCTTCACCCGCATAGCCTGCTCTCACTGTGTACGAGCCAATGTCAAATACAAGAGCTCCAACTTCATCTGAAAAGATTGTTAATGGAGAGGTTGTGAATGGTTATTATACTCTGCTACAATCCTGACCTTTCTGTACCCATTGCCTGTTTTGCTTGCAAAAGAAGAAAAACAAGTCAAGGCAGCTTTTTCCAGGCAAAGAAAAAAATTCTCTATACAGAATTCTAATTAGCTGAGAGCTATTAGAAGATTGCAGATAAATTTTAACTGAGACATTGCAGTATCTTCCATTAGCATACGTAAAAGGTAAATTTAAACATAAGAGGGAGAACATAGTTGCCTCCAAATAGATTACAAGGTAAAACTTTCAGAAAGTGCTAGCATAACAGCAAGAGGAAGCCAGGTGAGCCCAGACCTCCCGGAGGTGATCAGAATTAGAAAGGGGGGCCTGAAAACACCACGTCTGTAAGTGAAAGCTGTCACATGAAGCACCCTCATCCTCGTGGGCCCCGATCCTCACTGGGCTGCTCTGCACGTCCTGAAGAAAACCAAAGCCTGAAACAAAATACCGGGGCTTTCATTCTCACGGAGAAGTCTGCAGAAGTCCTCTGGGAAGAAACTACATCCCCGTTTCCAAAGCGCGGGGCCTTCCCGCTCCACTCGGCACCCGAGTAAGTGCTAATTCAGCCAAAGACCACAGCTTAACGGGGGTCCGGAGGAAGCATCGCAGCGAAACGACGCCGGCAGAGACACAAGGCCGCCCGCCGCCGCCGCCTCCTCCTCATGCACGCTACCACCCCCCGCCTAGTTCACGGAAGAACGGGGAGGGCTCCGGCTCCGTGGCGGAGAAAAGGGGCCGCGGGCCCCCGAGCCCGGGCCTGAAGGAACCGCAGGGAGGCGGAAAGCGCCCGGGAGAGGCTCTCACGCGCCGCCTCACGGGACGACGCCGCGCTCAACGGTCGCGGGGGGGAGGGGAGGGCGGATAAGCGAGGCGGCGCCAGACTCACCTCCCCCATACACGCCGCCGCTCATGGCTGCCACTGGGCCCGAGCAGCGAGCCCCGGTACCTGCCGGCTCCTCTTCTCACAAACCCAACCAACAATAGCGCCTTCACCTCGCTCTCCGCCGGCGCCACTGCCTAACCTGCAGGCCGTCGCCTTCCCGCCAATAGCAACGCCCGTGCCACTGGCCCTCCCTCCGCCTCTCGGCACAAGAGCCAATCGCGATGGGCAGAAGGCGGAGTCATGGCGCGGATAGCCAATCATGAGGCAGGAAGTGGGGGGCGGGCTGGTAAACGAGTAGGCGTTGGCGTAGCGTGTGGGAGTGGTGGTGTAGGGGGTCAGTGAGGTGTGGGGAGAGCGGCGGGAATGCAGGCTAAGTAGGGGAGGGTTCAGGGGAAGGCTGCTGCGTTCGGTGGAGTGGGGAAAGGTAGCTCTGGAATCCTGAGGGCTGGTAGGGTGGGTTTGGTGCCGCCTCATGGGTGCAGAGGAATGGGGTGAGTAAAGAGCTTCTGGGGAGAGAGGCTGGTTGTGGAAAGGTGCTACAGTTGCTGTAGCTGGGCCTTCCATGAGTCCTTCCCCTGCTACCGCCGCTGTTCCTTTGGGCTCTTGAACTGAAAATTAAACGTGATTAAAGTATATATTGATATTCCAGCCTTGTGGTGTGCTATTCTGGCTTAGGACACTCCTTTGAACCTCTGACTTCGATCCCTGAGGCTAGCTTGCCTGGCTTACTGGGCAGTCTTAATTTGCCAGATCCGTTGCCAGTTTAGTAGTTGAATTTGTGAATAGGATTTCAGATTGCCTTGTACAGCATTAGAGTTAGAGTTCTTGGCTAAGCTTGGTGTTCAGCCAGAGTATCCAGAGAGGGGAAAACATAAAGTTGTAGGAATTAAAGGAAATGGAAGAAAGAGGTGTATCATAGAGATACTTCTAATATTAAGAGCTAATATTAGAGAAGAGTAAAATTCGAATTTGAGAATAAGGTGCAAGCACACCTGGTGCGCACCTTTTTGAATTCCTATATGAGGGTTTTTTTTTTGGAGGGGACGGGAGCTGGTTTGGTTGTGTGTGGCCTGCTATAAGACGTTATGAGTGTTCTTTTCAAGTTCACGTAAGATATATAGCTTATTTATGTAATACTATAGTAAGGATCTCCAAATGATTAGATTTAGTCAGCATAAGATAATTTTATTACATTTACATTTACCTATAAAGTGTTAGAATAACAAGTGCCATTAATAGCAACTAATTATTAGACTGTATATGGTAAAAAAGTGTCTCATATTTTCACCGTAAGACAAAATTTAGTGGTATGAGTCTCATTTTGTCTTATTTTGATAGAAAGTTCAGAACTTCCTACAAAGGGGTGGGTTTGTTTTTTTCTAAGTTGTGACTTAAGTTTCAGTGATATCTTATTTACACTGAATGTAATCAGGTAAGGAGAGGTGAAATTTACATTTGGTGTACCCAGTAGGGTGTTGGTTTTTTTTTTCCAGGAAGTTTGTAAAACTGTTGTGACTAGAACGGATTATGACCAATTTCAGCAACCATTGTGCTAGTGAAGGGGAAAAGCAGCCCGTGTGTGTATGTGTGTGTTTGGACTAAAGCTCTTGAGATGCTGTAGTTAATGTCAGGCTGCTTCCCCCTTAAGTCTCATCCTGAATCAGAACGTACAAAAAACAGTAAAATCCAACAGTAAGGGGGTTTTAAGCATAATTATGAGAATACCAGGAGCTGTCTGGACTTACTAACTCTCCAGGACAGGGAATTTAATTTGGCACACAGTTTGATTTTCTGTTTCTTTAATGAGCAGACTTCATAATTTTATCATGCAATTAAAAAATGTGAAGTTTTTACATAAGCTTGATAAAATAACTACAAAATTTACATGCTATCATTAGAAAGATAAATACTGCTCTTTGACTAACTATACCTCAAAGTCAGTGCGTCCCGATTTTGTATTGTGAAATCTGTTGAAGTTAATTTGTTAACACTATATCCAGTATGTGGCACTAATACTCAAGGTAGAGTTGTTTGAGGAGGAGGAATTAATTGCAGATGGAAAAAGCTGTTCGGAAAATTTGGAATTACAGTGCCAGATGATCTTCATTTAGCTCCTGCTTATACTTTATTTTGTAGTAATTATTCACTGTATTCATATGATAATTGACACTTTTAAGCCAGATCCTGCTGTCTGCACAAGAGCTGCTTGTGATTGCTCTGCAAGCTGGAAACAAATACAGCATTCTGCTGCTTTATTTTTCTTCAGTATTTCTTCAACACAGAAGAATTCCCAGTGATGCCATCGGAAAACGTGTGCCAGGGTAAAAAGGCTTGTGGCTGTGCGAGGCATGGAGAGAGAGTGAGCCTGTAAAGATCATCTTTACTGCTCCAGTGGCTGATCTGGATGGAACTGTAAGGTAATGTGCACTGGAAACCATTCTGATATCTAGAAGCTTCGGGATTTGACAAGTATAGGGAAATAAAGTCAAATTTGTGTAATCTTCAAGAAGCCTGAAGGATAAAGGAAAGGAAATTTAGGCTGACAACTCTCTAGGTCTTTTCTTTGCCTCACACTTTCATAGGCATTTATATCAGTGGAAAATGTGTTGTTTGATAACATTTTACAGTGACGTTGCTTTACAGCAATGGGAATAACCACACAAAGTTCAGTGAACAAGAGAAATAGACACCAGGCATCTTTTTTCAGCAGAGTCCAATCTTTCTTAGTGCTGCAAATCTAGGTTATTTCAGTGAATAATTCCTGCACATCATCCTATGTTTGTATAAGAGCACATGAAATCTAGAGCTTTGCCACCACTGTCTGCAGTATACTCAAATGCTTTGGTTTGGTTGGGGTTTTTTTAACTGTTTTTGCTTAGTTTCTCAGAAGCAAGAATTATAAAATCAAAGTAGATAGAAACAGTGAATGTATTTTATTTGGGTTCCCATACCGGTACAAATGGCTATAGCACCTTGGCAGGAGTTGCAAGTGTAGGTATAATGTGAACTACATGCTTTTCATGGGAATATCACATACTGCTTTTCTCCATGTTTCATTATATATAACTCTAGAGCCATATACTAATATAAATTGTCAATAGGAATAAACAGAGGCCTCACTGTAAAAGTGAGGCACGAATCAAGACACCAAATAATTATGTGTACTAGTAAGTAAAAATTAATGCGTGATAGTCTGAAGAATCTGAAGCTTCCTAATTATTTCTTTGAGGTCTTTAAAACTTCATTAAGACGTAATTTTTTCAAGCAAGTACATTCACCTTTTGGTAATATAAAGCATTGTGGAAAGTGATGTGTATGTCAAGCCAAAATTTAACAGAATGATCTTCTGTTTCTCAACAAGCCACACTTCCCCATTGGGTGGCTGATGGCCTGTTGCTTTTCAACATTACTATACAACTGCCAGGCAATCTCCCAGACTGCAATGCCAGCTTTTGGATGTGGCAGCAGACTGGTTGTGACAGTGGGTTATTCATAACATCTGTATTCCTTATTGTTTCTTGATTGCAAAGTTCATGTTAAAGGTTTTATTTTTCCTGTTTTCAGAAGAGGTCTTAAATGTTTATGTGAACTAAAAAAAGTGTATGTAGATGGAGAGCAAAATAGTCTTTAACACTCATTCAGTCAAGAGCTTTGTTATGACCGCTCAACATTCCACTTTCTTTGCTGAAGTACTTGGATACTTGGTCAATTTTAATACTTTCCTTCCCTACTGGGGTGCTGTGAGTATAACTACTCTGTCATCCTCCTCCTGCAGAGAAAGTGCTAGAACACAAGGTAAGTGCTAAGGGGCCACACCTGACAGGGTTTTTACCTCGGGCTGGAATCCAGATACTGATTTATGGTTCATATAAAATGTACTAAAAACATAGATCTTAAACCTGGATGTGTTACATTATAACCACTGCACAGTATGTTTAGGCTTAGCAATTGAAAATGGTGAAGAGGAGAGGAAATCTGTCTGAAATCTGTCTGTGACTCCAGCAAGGCAGTCAGGGGGATATATGTTCCAGAGTCTTCTTTTGGAGCTGGTGTGTTTAACTGGACCTTTTGTAAAAGACCCATGACTCACTCTTATTTTAGAACATGCTAGGAGGAAGAAGACATGGTGCTTATTGTTATTATACAGTCAACTTTGCATCATGGGGTGACTAGTTTTTAGAGAAAGGAATGGAAAAAAAAAAAAAAAGAATGCATTTTGAGATTCCATCTGACTGGCTGGAATAATAGTGTCTTGGATACACTGGAGAATGGGGAAAAACCCCTCATTGTATTAGTGCTGCCTTATTGTTCTGAACCATAAGTGGATCCTGTGAAACAAAATTGGAGGACTGTGAACCACTTGCTTTTCTAGCTCAAGCATAGTGTGAATTCACAGAGCCAGATTAGGTGTGAAAGTGCAACATTTGCCTGGAACTGGTTCTCAGGTAATTAATAGGTCTGCTGGACTAAGGCCAGCCCTGGTCAGAACTTAAGTATGCCTGTATTGCCCTTCTGAAAT